AATTGTTTTTTGTTACACTGTTCTGTATACAATGAACTTTTTGACGAGGCAACATCTGGTTCCAAAAAAAAGAACATACTCTTGTTATTGTAATCTTCTTTAGGATGGCGAAGAAATAAATGATGCTCTTGTATTTATTGTAAAATTACTAATAGATATATTTATAACAGAAATAAATTATAAAATGTGTGAAGTTGAATTAGGGTTACACGACCGGAAATTCGAAATGATTGAGATCTGTTTAGCTTGATGCATAAATTCAATCGTTATTATACCCCCGATAGGTGTGGTCCTAACAATAAGTACTCAACCTCTGTCAAAATCGACAATTTTTTTGTTGCCATTACGTACAAATTGACAGTTACATTTCTTTTTAATGAACAATGAGAAAAATTACTAAATTTCTAACTTTCTAACTTGCTAAATTTTTAAATTTCTAAATTTCTAAATTTCTAAATTTCCCAAATTTCTTAATTTCCAAATTTCTAAATTTCCAAATGTCTAAATTTCCAAATTTTTAATTTCTAAATTTTCAAATTTCCAAATTTCCAAATTCCCAAATTCCCAAATTTCTAATTTCTCAAATTTCTTAATTTCCAAATTTCTAAATTTCCAAATGTCTAAATTTCCAAATTTTTAATTTCTAAATTTTCAAATTTCCAAATTTCCAAATTTCTAAATTTCTAAATTACCAAACTTTTATCTCTCAATCCCCGCATATCCTAATTTTGATATCCATAAAATCCCACATTTTTGAATCCGTAAATTCCGAAATTTTCAAGATTCAAAAATCTTAAATATTGTAACACTTACATATTACTTAAAACTTAACAGTAATTAAGGAGAGATAAAATGTTCCATAATATCATAAAAATTTTATAGATCGTATTTATTAGTATTCTTAGCTACGAACATAATAAAATTAAGAACTTTCGGACAATTATAATTTTCTTCGTTTCTATTTTGAAAGACCTAGTTGTTTGAAATTAAAGGTTTAAATTACTTTGTTACCATGAAGCATTGAACCATTCAAATCATTATAATTAAAAATACAATGAGATAATTTGTATTCACGAATTCAAGCTTAACAAATCACGACAATTTCCGAAGCATTTTCATTATAAGTTAAATTGCTTATGTCGAATGGCTACACGTGCCTCGTGAATCGCAGTCTTTCTCAAGTTTCAAAGCATGTCACGGTTATAGTATACAAATTTCCACTTTCATAAGATAAATACGACGAATTAAAATAACACAGCATAAAAAATTTCAAAGTTAGAAACATGTCTTCGTGGACAAATGTTGTTAGAATTATGCAGTGATTAAAGACGACGACTTTGAACTATTAAATAGATGTTAAGCCAAATATAATAATTAATTTATTTAAAATAATATTACAATAAACTGTTGATAACTAAAGGATGGCAATTACACGACATTGAATGACATTCGGGGCGGTTTTTTATAAACTAACGATAAGGCAGTTTTTTGTCAATCGATTTATGGTTAACGTTTGATAATTTGATATATTTCTATATTATTTTTATATAATTCAATCACTAAGTCATGTGAAATTTTATATTACATTTTGTTGGTTATTTAATAAAAAATGTGGAGATAAAATTGTACCACAAATCCATATTATATCAGCATTTCATGAACATAAACATTGTGCAAGCGAAGTTTTAACTGAAGAATTTTATATTTGCTAGAATTACTGAAATTTTAGGGAAGTATTGTTTCCGCCTTGCACATATTTATGTCATACCTGCAACAAAATTGTTGAAAACAAAAATGATAATTATGTTCTTGCTAATGTTCAACAGAATATCTGTACACCACAATGGCAATACAATTTATAACATTTATAACATTTGTTCAGTTATTAATCATTTATTTTATTTTTCATAATAACGTTCATTATTTTTGTTTATTTTATTCATCTTATAATACTGAATTTCGGAACTTACCACATCATCTATGCATTTGATCTTTTATCTCAGTTTGATTTTATCTTTATTTGATCTTTTAATATTTTTGTATTTTTCCATATTTTATTTTTTATTTTTTAATTTAATAATTCAATAATTCAATAATTTTTTAATATTTTTCCATATAAATACTTAAATTTATACTTCCATTCTATGTGGAAATATAAAAATATTAAAAAGTGAAATTATATTTGAAAAGTAGTTGTAAATAAATCATATTTAACGCAATCATCCAAAAAAATTAGAAGATGTTTCATAAAATTATTTGAATGAGAATGAAACCCACGCCTTACCAACCGTAGCAAATCCGCTTTTAACAGAATTTTTTCTACTTCGTCCAACATAAAATAATAACTTCATTGTTAGGTAAATATTTTATAAATTACAGAGTTGCCTGCTCCAAGAACAACATTTATTAGCTTCAGTTCTTCAAATTTTATCATTGTGCAGATGCTCGTCAAAAATCAGCGCCATATTTCAAAACCTCTCGTTCACAACAAAAAAATTGTTTAAAAATTTTTGTTTGTAAATCTCGCAATATATTTCTTGGTTTTTAAATTTACATACATGATACTTATTTAATTATTTGAGTATATGATACTACACATAAGAAGAGAATTTATATATAATATCACATAATATGAGAAAATATAACATAATAATGTGGAATATAATATCTATAAAATTGGTACATGTTTATAGAAACTTATCTTTTGGACTGCAAAATTAATGCTATAAAATTTATTGTTATAAATATAATTTGAGTATATAACACTGCACACAAGTTAGTGAATAAGAGAATTTACATATAACATAATATGAGAAAATATAATATAATAATGTCAAATATAATATCTATAAAATTGGTACATACTTATAATGACTTAACTTTTTGACTGCAAAATTAATGCTATGAAATTTATTGTTATAAATATGATATTAATACTATATATTAGTTGTTATAACTAATACTAAATTAATTTCAGTATGTATAATACTAATATACAATACTAAAAATTAATTTTCGTATAATTTATCTCCATCCAGAAGCATTCTAATACCTGAACGTAGAAAATGACTGATCTCTACGTAAATATAATTTCTTAATTAAATACTTGCATCGTTTCAGAGAAATACGAAGAATTAAAAATATTTCTCTCTGTTCGCCGCGCGTTAATCGAATTCTTTTGTGCAAAGGTCGACGGTACGAGCTGTCTCTGAACGATTCATCGTTCTTTGAGAGACAAAAAGCGTTTAATATACAAACGAGAGAGGCTGTTTAAAGGAAGACTCGATCGATCATTTTGAAACGATACCGCGAATCTTTAGATACACGCAGCGCTTTGACACTTTACAAATGAGACGTCACGTGGTCAATTGTTTTCTTCTTTCTTTTTTCCTCTTAACCTTTGTCTTCTACATAGTACATGTTTATTGATTACCGATTGAGTTTGTCCATGCGTATCAAGCTCTCTGCACAGAAATACAGAATCCTGCATTTCCTGGCTGACAAAGTGAGGTCGATGGCGGATGCATTGGTGTGGCACTAAAAGGGCTGGACGATAAATCACTTCGGTAAATTCCTTGTAAAGCATTAAGTGCTATGTGGCATTTGAAAGGATCGTATTCGCGGCGAGCAAGAATAATTATATGGTTGCATTTGCCGCGTTTCGATTCTAAACGAACCTCAACGTGCTCGAAACTCCGAGTTTCGGGCGTTTACGGTTGATTGATTCATTTTTCTACGAAATTATGCTTTCACTCGATTTTACTATAATAAATAAGAGGTGGAAAGAAAATTTTCTCGTGCGAACGTGTTTTAATCTTCATATGATGATGCATCGTTCAGCGGTTTAAATCTTTGAGGCATTCGATTTTCAAGAAAATAATTCAAGTGCACAGAATTCTTTTTCGATATGAACAAATGGAAGAAACGTTCGTTTCAATTATTTAACATAAAACGTCAACTTTTCGAGAGGGGTTAAAATACATTTTAAATGTATATCCCATTATACACAAAAGGCTAAGCAAAAGGTGGGAGCTTTTAACCTAACCTCAAAGAGTTAAAAAGATATGTATTACGGAATCTGTGTTTTCTACAAATTGATGTGATATGTAATGAGACAACATGATTTTTAACAAACTACAAATTCGCAAAGTGCAATGACATGTTGCTTTATGTAATACCATAATAAGATAAAAGATTTAATATTTACATAGGTTCCGCTGAACACCTTGAAAAGTTTTAAAATTTTATGGTAATTTTGTCGCACTCAATGTTTATTTATGAACCGAGTATTTTATTCCTTTATAGTAATATTTAGTAAAATGTATTCCTGTAATATGTAAACTTATAACATTTTTAGGACAAAAAATTGCTTTCTTAAACTCTTTCAAATCTTTAGTTCCCTTTACGAATTTCTACATTTTAGCGTTTGTAAATCTTAACATCACGAAATTTTTGAATTTTCAAATTTCTGAATCATTAAGCTTTTAAACTCTTGGTTTGCAAATTCCCAAATTTTCAAATTCTGAAATTTGTTAAGTTTCTTAGAATAGCTAGATTTACTCTTAATCGTAACATTTAAATCATAGATCTTATCAGATCATTCTATTATCGTTAGATAATGCTACATTCATTATGAAAATACATTTAAAGGACCAAGAAAGAACCTGAAACTCGCATGTAAGCTACAGTGAACCTCTGTCTAATAACTATGCAAATACACCAGATGTAAGCAGGTTTAACATGAAAATGTAAAAACTAATTACACGTTCTAGTTGTAATTAAACTATTCTTTTAATTTTTAAGTAACCTTTTAGTCCAATTTAACCTATCACAATTATAAATCTTTCGAACAAATTGTTCCTTAATTATTTTGGAACAAAAAGGTACATCTTCTATAGACTATGGACAGTAATTAGCTATTTTAAATCTTGTAAAATAATTTTAAAAAATTTGTGTAAATGTACAGTTTTATTATAATGTATTGAAATTACTTTTTCTAGGTGTACGTGATAGCAGCGACAGTGATGAAAAAAGAAACGTGGACACGGTTTTACTGCTGCCATCTGACTCAGGAAATCGTTTCATTCGGCCGTTAGGTGCTTTTAATTTCCCTGACATGAGCTTCGAGGACAGCGATAGCATGGAGAGTCCAACCTGGACCTGGAACAACTTGTTCAGATCGAATTTCTTGGATGGATGGTACTCCAGCATACAAGGTATGTGAAAAACTATTTCTTAACATTATTGATTATTTAACACTATTTCTACCACGATTTTGTGTATACCTATTTCGACCAAAATGTGTCTCGTATGAAAAGTCAAAAAATGAATTATTCGACTTAGAAAATAATTGATGAAATATAGGAAATTATTATATTTAAAACAGCACAAAACACAATAACTTTTGAAAGACTAAATGAATTTATTATTTAAAAAAAACGACTTGGAAGGACTTCTTTAAAATATGTTAATTACACTTGATTTATGAATATTAAAAATGCAATTCTAAATAGCCTACTATATTTTATACGTATGGAAAATGAAAATATCAGAGAAACAATAACGAAGGAATATGTAGATTTTATTTTATTAACATACGAAGATCTGATCAAAATCGAGCGGAATCTTACAAGTAATCGATAAATGCACAAACTTGATTACCGACTTCTCAATACATTTATTTTTGCTAAGTTCATAGATATGAAAATTCAACAATAATTTTGAATTAAAATTTGAAAGATGTCTTTTAACACCTGAAATAGTGGTAGAAATAGTGTTAACACAAGAATGTTGAGTGCTATTGAAGTGTCTCTGAAAAAGTAATCTAAACAAAGTATAAAAAGTGTTTCTAAAAATTTATGTATCATAGTCACATTCAAATTTAATTTACTTGAAATGCATAGACATATTTGGAGAAATGTACAAATTTTTTGGTACATTTTAAAAAACCTATATACTTAAATGAAACAGTAAAAACATCGCGAAATTCTCCCTAAAAATGATGTAGGCTGACTGTAATAATGAAACGCGCAATTAAACTCAATGAATTAATTATTTCTGCGCAACTGTGGTATGATTAAATTTTGTAAAGTTTAACCGTGCGTTACATTGTTTTCTTAACATTAAAGAAAAGTGCAGTTTTGAATTATTATTAAAGGGAATGAACAGTTCGTCGCAGATGGAAACTCGATTGCTAGTGTAGAGTATTAAAATTTGATTTTGGAAATCAAATACATAAATTTGGGAGTTTTTAAATTGTAAATTTTTTTATTTCTAAATTTTTAAATCATCAAACTCCTATATTTTCAAATTTTTGTTTTCGTGCTTATAAATTTACACACTTAAAAACGTCTAAAATTACAATATTATAAGTTTAAACGCCTAAACATTTCTCATTTCTCAAGTTGTTAAGTTTCCAAATTTTCAAATTTTCAAATTTCCAAATTTCCAAATTCTCATGTTCCTAAGTCCCCAAACTCCCAAGTTTCTAATTTCCTGAGTTCCCAAACTCCCAAATCCCCATATTCCTAAATTCCTACATTCAGTTTCTCCAATACCAAATCTCCAAATCCCCAAATTCCCAAATTCCCAAATTTCCAAACTTCTTAATACCAAACCTTCAAATCTCCAAATCTCCAAATTTCCATATAAAAAAATTCCCAAATTTCTTAATACCAAACCTTTAAATCTCCAAATCCCCAAATTTCCATTTTAAAAAATTCCCAAATTTCCATTTTAAAAAATTCCCAAATTCCCCAACACCAAATCTTCAAATCTCCAAATCCCCAAAACCAACACCAAATCTTTAAATCTCCAAATCTCCAAATTTCCATATCGAAAAATTCCCAAATTTCTTAATACCAAACCTTCAAATCTCCAGATCTCCAAATTTCCATATTAAAAAATCCCCAAATTTCCCAATCCCCAAGTTCCCAAGTACCAAATCTTCAAACCTCCAAATCCCGAAATACAAATTTCTAAATATCTACGTTTACCATCTCATTAAACCTTATCAAGAACGAACAAGCAGCATAAATCTGCTTCTCCTACATCATCATTTTCTCTATAGATGTTAGATACCCTCCTGACTGCGTATCCATCTTGTTAAATATCGACGAGAAGGATTAAAATTTGGTAGACAGTATCGTCAGCCAAATAGACTTGTACCTTCGCGCGATTGGAATGACCGCACATGTGCCGCAGATACGCGATCACGGTTCGACAAGCACAAACATAAAATTACACGGATTCGCGCGCGCAATCGTGTCCGTATTCCGCTTACATGCGGTTTGTCAAACGTAACTTCCGGTACACGGTGTGCGGCGATCGGTCTGTATACAGTGGAGACCGATTGTCGTTTCCCGTGGCGGTGATACGTATTTCGTGTTTGTGCATGTTAGTGAAAGTATCCGCGTCCTCGTTGTCGAAATCTCTCGAATTTCCGATGCTTTATTACGTTGTGCGCCCCGACATGCTCATTTCAGATAATGCCAAGAGAATCAAGCTGAATTACTGGCTTGTCGAGTGAAAACTACTCGAACGACATTGGATATTGTACTGTCACAAATCAGCGGAATATAATTGTACCTTGTATACACGCTTTGTAGATATTTTCGTGCGAGTACGGAATGACACCTAATAAATTAAATGGTATTTCTACAGGTGAGATACGTGTCACAGTACTCAAACTTAATTCGTCATAATATTAATATACAGATAATTTCATTGATATATTTATAGGTATTCAGAAACTTCATAGTATCCTTAACCCTTTGCACTCCTATGTCGAGTGTAGCTCGACATCACATTTCTCTTGAATCTTATAAATAATCCAGATTAATAGGTTGGTTGAATATATATATATATATATATATTTTCATTTATTTACTATTTATAATAAATGAGAAATGTATTTGTCACATACTCCACACAGTTTCAATACATTTTATTGAGAATCCCTTTTTTTTATCTATTTTGTAAATAAAGGAGTTGGTAGGTAATAGAAATTAAGGAGTGCAAAGTGTTAACTTGCCCTATGATATCGAGTCAGACTCGTGACGCACGTTATAGTTCAAGTGTGACAAATTAAATAGTGTTTGCGTAGATCGACTATTGAGTATGATACCCATTGCAGTTTGTATAATTAATAATCACTAAGTCCGAAATATACCTAACATTTTAATATTCTTTATTTACCTTAAGGCTGCAGTAATGATTAGACAGCTCTAACTGACGCACCTGTCAAAAAAATTTGTAGGGGTTGCCATACAATTTATTTGTGAGATGCGTCAACCAGAACTAACTATTCATATCTACAATAAGGTGAAGTGGGGTAAGTTCGTAAACGGGGCAAGTGCGTATACAGACTATTTTTATTACAATATGAGCGAAATTTCTCCATTTAGTATGTTTGTTTCCTTGTTCTGTTTCACTATATCCCCTTTTATATTTTAGCTAAGAGTACTTGTTTGCAGTATAAAGTACTTGCATAATGCAGTAAAAAGCATTTTATACCAGATTTGTTAATAATTCTGCTCTTGCCCCATTGCACATGAAATAAAATTTCAAAGTATTTAACTTCAAGTTACGCTCTTACTCCATTTTCGGGGAAAATGCAGAGTAGTTGACATTTTAAACAATTTCCTATCAAAATCAAAATGTACAAGGAAAATTAAGGTCCTAGTTAATATTAATTAAATAGTAGTAATTGTGCAAAGCGTTAGATATCGACAGCGTTAAGTATTTACATAGCAGACTGAAAATACTTACATTTAACTACCAACTTTGCAAAAAGCAGTCTGCACTTACCCCACTTCACCTTATTAAAACAAATAACGAAAATTTAAATGTTATGTTAGTTTCGTTTTCAGGAATCCATAACTTTGCTCATTTTTATTGGACTCAAACTTCAGACTGAAACGCATTAAAAATTCGAGTAAAATTCGTCACATTCAAACCGTGAGTGCGTCACGTGTCAGACTCGTCAAAGTACAGCGCGGGGTTAAAACTCTTAGCCACCCTTTTTGAACTCTTAATCCGTTACAGTATGATTTATTTGCCACGTGCGTTAGTCAGAACTAATTAATCTGAGCTACAGTATTAAAATAGGCAAAAAAGGTTAAAATGTTATGGCAGTGACTATGCAAATTATAATTGGACTTGAACTCCAAATTTAGGCGTATTAAAAATTCGAGTAAAATTGATCACGGTTAAAGTACGAGTGTATCACGATCAGACTCGTGAAAATAGTGCAAGGGTTTAATTGCATTATACTTTCATGTTGATATGTGACGTGCAAGTTTTGTATATTACACTTTGTGTTATGATTATTGTATTTCTTCTCTTCATCGTTTCTTTTATTTAAACTTTTATTGCGTCTTATTCGCAGGTGATTGTAAAACTGTGTAACATCTTCTTTCTTACAGTGCATTTCTTTTTGTATAAAAGAGTTTACTTTTACAGTGAAATATTGATGAAATTTATGAAAATTTTATAACTTTATTATTAATTGTAATAGTATCAGAATGTTTCATCAGTTATTAATTCCAGGAAATGAAGGGAATAAGTAGAAATTTTAGAAACAGAAATTTAAAAAAAAAGATATGAAAGAAATGGAGCTGAGTATCTTGTACACAATTCGGATGTTTATCAAAAGATAAATACATTGCAAAGAATATTTTAGAATTTTTTTTATATTTTTGTATTATATAATGTTTTTCTTAGCTTTCTAGGTCACTTAGCATTTTTGCATATAAATTTTTAGTAACAAGCAATATATGTCATTCCTAATTTTAATTTTGAGAGTGAGAGATCGTTTCAGAATCACGCTATCTGAATGGATTTTAATGTGAGTTACGGTACAGGAAAAATACATCTAATAAAGATATCAGAAGCTTCAAAACACCGAAATTTAATACAGGTAGAAAAGAATTTTGTGCAGCATGTTCGTCCTTTGATATCATTAAAACTATATAGCAAATATTTTTTGTAGCGTATTTGTCCTCTGATGTTATTAAAATTGCATACAAAATATTTTATGTACCATCAGAAATGAAAACAGTACATATAATTAAGTGGCAACCCTTTAGGTGGACAATCCTAAATAGCAATTTATGATCTCTATAATGTAAATACCTTACTGTCCGTTGACTCATTTAATTTAACAATTGTGTGGGAATTTTGTTAATAATAACATATCTGCTTCTTTTCAATGTTT